TGAAAGTTCTATTCCTCTCTTTGCAATATCCCAATTCTTGGAGGTGCAGCCGTGAATTCTAATAGCCTGAAGCACGGCCATATCTATGGTTCAGGTGGAAGGAATATTATCACTTTGTCCCTGCCTGAAAACCACCTTCTTGAACATAGCAATAAATAAGACAGGCTAACTGTAATGCAATTTACAATACTGTAAATTCAAACTGCTTACCATAATTTAAAATTATTTTATCTACTTGTCTGCTTGTTTATTGTGTCTCCTCTCTGATCTATAACCTCAACAGGGCAGGCGCCACGTTGGTCTTACTCAATACTTAGCCTAGTGTCTGACACGTAGTGGGCACCAGATGGATGTTTGCTGAATAAAGGATCGAATGAAAAATTTCCCCCGATCCTTGCCATGCATTAACATAGAGAAATATTAGACTCCATAAATCCATTAGTAAAGAATTGTCCTCTCAGCTTAATACAGCTGTTCACAAGGAGATATGATCTATACATCGGAAACCAATATATACATAACTATTCTTTCACTCCAGAGCAGTTCCAGTAAGACCTGCCAGCCCTACACCAATCCTGATCTTCTGGTCTTCAGAGGTTATTCTGACCAACTTTAAACATGTGATATAAATGGAGGATTTTAACCATCACTCGGAACCCAAAGTCCAAGCAGACGGCACGTACCTAATGGAGAGATGCGAATCGACTTCACGCCAGGTCCAGCCTCTCTAGTTACCAGATCCTGAAAGGAAAGAGCTCTGTGTTCTGTCCTGGGTGCAAGGTACTCCTACTCTCCACTTGCGGTGCCTCCAGGATCTGCCCGGCCTGCGTGGGAGGTCAAGTTCTCATTCCCAAGTAACGGGTCATAAGAACCTGGAAGACTATGGGAATGGCTAGGAATGTTCTCAACAGAATCCGGGGTGAAAAAGAATCTTGAGATCAGGATGGCAGGTTTAGGCATCTCGATTCCCCCAGGAGGTCATGTCAAAAGCAAGTCTCAAGGGCAAATAGTGCAAGAACAGGGGGTCCACTGAGAACTCCCGATCTTCTCACCAGGCCATCCCATGACGAGCCATTTTCATGCCATTGTCCCTGATCTCTCCCATATAAACTCTCCCATAGAACGAGGGCTTCTGCACAGAAGGTCATTATCGAATAATCCCAAATACACAGAGGGCTAGACCCTGAAAACCTGCTCTGGAGGGAAGTAATAGAATGCTGCCCCCACAGACCTCAAATCTCTCAGTCACCAACCTACTGGGGTCTCCGTACCTATGCTTCAGTGGGTATTCCTTCTTAAAACTCGGAATTTTCGAACGACTCAAAGAGGCAGTGTGGAGCGGTGGGAGGTTAAGACTGGGTGGCAGAACGTCAGGCACAAGCTGTGACTCGGCAGCCAACAGAGAGACCTTGAGCGAGTCACTTCCTTCCCGTTTCAGGCCTGAGTCCCTTCAACTATACGCCAGGGTTCGTGACTCCCACTTCCTGTGGAGGCCGTGAGCATTAAAGCTGATAATGCCGGAGAAGGCTTTGGAACTGGGGGCACTGGGGGCCATGCGAGGCAAGTTCAAGGATAACTGGAGAGAGGAGGCTCTCAAGCGGTGGGTTTCCTCCCTGTCTCTTTCCTCTCTTCCTTCTCTCCCCACATCGCAGTCGATACCCTGGTTACCGAGGACGTGCTACCGCCCCACACATGTGGTCACACGCCTGTCCTGACACCACGTTCTAACGCAAAACCCACTTGATCTTCATGACCCCTGGCTCACAGAAACGCCCATGGGTCTGTATTGCCTGCGGGATACAATTCGAATCTGAAATAAACTAAAGGACCTTCCCTCACCTGGCCTCTCTCTAGCCCATCAGCCTGTTCTGCTTTCTTTATAACATTAACAAGAATGGAAGTTATATTGGGCATTTATCTGTCATCTGTTTATTGTCTGTCTATTTTCAGTGTAAGAAGAGGGAGCTCGTCTATTTTTAATACAACTATCTTTACAGCCCTCACGGTCTGGCACATCATAGTGGGTGCTTAAAAAATATCTGATGTATGCATAAATGAACAGATGGCTCCAACCTACCTTTCTAGCATGTTCTTCCTAAATACATCTTCGGAAAATAAAATCCCTCTCCTATCATTTCGACTAGTAAAAGTGCACCGTGCAGGTGTCTCTACGTGCTTGTGTGTCCAGCGCAGATGAAATGAGGGAACTTGTGTGTGTGATGACTCCCCTTTCTCTCTCTTCCCTCCACGTCGAATCTTTCTTCGATCCGAACGGGGACACAACCTCTTACTCCTATAAACGCCCGCAAGATCCCATCACTGACCGGTGACCACGTTCCACCTTGTCTCGCCGGCACATCTGCAGCCACATTCTCACCTCCTCACACCCCAGCATGCGGATCCCTCCGGGCACCTAGTGGTTGGCACATAGGAGATGCTCAAGACACACTCGTGGGAAGAGCCTGCACGTGACAGCCAGCGCTGCGGTCAACCATGGGGGCAATGGCTCGGAAGGAGAGTGGGCATCCGGGTCCACACCAAGAGGGATGTTTTCTTAACCTTCCTAGAGGTGAGGCTCGCCAGAGAGAGGGAGGGTGACAGGAAATCAAATGAGGGGTTCAAAATGACAGGTGTAACTCCGTACAATGAGAGGGTGGGACTGGAGGGTCTCTAGGGATTATGGAGAAGGGAGCAGAGTGTGAGTTTTAGGGCTGGATTCGCCTGGGATGGAACACTGCTCCTGGCCAGCTGTGTCCCTCTCCTCACTCTGCACCAGCCACTACAAGTATCCATCACAGTTTTCTCTACTCCAAGTGGGAGGAAACTCCCACCTTTAACCAGCCAATGGTGGGCCAGACTTCTGGCCTCCTGACATTAAAGAGTATACAGCAGGTGCTTCATGGTGCATCCACCAAACTGGGTCATTTTCTTCCTGGCCCAGAAGGGAGCTTCATTTCCGGCCCCCTTGCATCTAGGCGGGGTCATATGACTCATCCTGGACACAAAATATGAGCAGCAGTTACATGAGCCGCTTCCACTTCTGACCTGTAAAATCCCCCTGAAAAATCTCCCCCACCCCGCCCTCTCCTTTTCCCTGGAAAACAGAGCCCAGGTTAGGACGGCAGCATCACAGATTGGAATGATCACAGTCCCAGAATGGATGGCCAACTACATCGACTATAATACGAGTGAGCAATGTTGCTCCCAAGATTTTAGGTTTCCTCGTTCCTGCAACGGAGACCAGCTGGATTGGAAAGCCTGACACTTCCGAGGGGCACGGCCCCTAAAACAGACCATGTGATCTTAACCTGTTCCCAAGCTCAGGGTAAGTCCTTCATGCTCTGACTCACCCTCCTCAAGGAGCTGGGATCAGCCCTCTCTGCCCGCCCCCACTGCCACCCCCCACTGCCACTCCCGTCCACTGAGAGCGGTCTAGACTCTAATGTCCCAATTCACATTCACGGTCTCTCTCGGGAAATCTGTCACTCTCGTATAAATTGGCTCCTCGTGGCCAGCATGGCGTCCTAGAGCTCCCCAGCAGGGTACTTAGATCAGACTGTGTCACGACGTCCACTACACCCCCTTGTTCTGGGCCTCAATTTCCCCACCTACACCATAAGGCCTTGGAAGGCATCTACTGCTCCGATATTGCCAACCACATCTGAGAGGGATGGCCTGTGGCCAACACCCAGCAGACTGCACCCTGTTCCAGCCTCCAGCCTATACAGGACCCATAAATTCTCCTGGCTGAGTAAACACATTTTATTGGGCCTAAGGACACTTCCTGCCATCCCGCTCCTGCCTTCCCTTATCCCTCCCCAGCCTGGTCAGTTCCCCGGCACAGCCCCTCCGCAGGCCCCCCGAACCCATCTTTCGCTCCCCGCTGCCCCCTGCCCCTCTCCCCTGACACCTGCATCCCTGGCCTTAAAGAGGGTGGAGAGTTTTTTCTCTTATCAGCCGTTTTACTGCCCCCTCCTCCCTGGTTACACAGTCTCTGGGAACAGAACTCCTGGCAAGGGCAGGTCAATGCCTGTCAGCTCCCAGCCCACAGCTTACTGGGCAGAGGGACGGGGTCCCTTCCGTGCTGTCTCGGAGGCAGGTAAGGGGTGTGCAAGCAGAAGCGAAGCAGGAAGCATCCCAAAAAGCAAGGAGAGGCCGCTGGGGCCAGAAGCCCGTGGAGATCCTTGTGAAGGGATGTCAGAGAGAGGAGGAAAGGCAGTCAGGGCCTGACCAGAGACGCCTGGGAGGCCCAGGCAGTAGCACTAAGCCCGGTCCCAGAGAGAGCCTGACACCGCGACCCCATGACCCCGCTCTAGCCTCCACCTTCAGGAGAGCAGAAGCACAGGTGTTCCAGAAGGCGGATTCTGGAGTCGACGGGGGGTGGCAACAAAATTGGGAGAAGTCCAGGAGGGTTTCTGGGAATACCTCTCAAGCTGCAGTGTGGCCCAGGACAAATTTGGCTGCCTGGGATCCAAGGGTGGCACCCCAGCCTTCCAGAGGCCTGGAGCCGGCAGGAAAAGGCCTCAAGGCAGAGAAAGAGCAAAGGTGGGCACGCCGCCCAGCCCTCCTCTCGGGCAGGCTTCCTCTTCCTTCCAGCTCCGTGCCCTGTTTCCCACTGGCAGTGACCTCAGGAACCCCGGCCTCGGCTGGAGACTGTGCGGGCAACCACTGGGGGAAGACCCTTGCAGGAAGACCTGACCCAGTTTGGTCACGGCGACGCCCTTACGTCGTGCCGGCGTGGGCTCTGCGCCTGTGGACCCAGGGTACAGCCTGTTCCAGCTCTTCCCATGTGATCTTCCTCGTTGATTCCAGGGGTGATTGGAAGTGGCCCATGGAAGTCCACGGGAAGATGGAATCGTGCTTGGATAATCTGACATGAGGCTCCCCATCCTCCTCCTCTGTTCGCCCTCTTGATTCCAGAAGGTTCAAGGGAGGAAGTACGCCACCCTCCACCAGCATCGCCCTGGGCACACACAGAGTCCCCTTGGCCCTCCTCACAGCCACTCACGGAGAGTCCTGCTCTCTGCAGGGGTATGGAGAGGAAGAACTCGAGGTGCTGCGAGGGCCCAAAGAAGCTGGGCCTGTCCTTCTCCATCGAGGAGATCTTGAAGAGGCCTGCGGAGAGGAGGGACAGGGTCAGGCCGGACAGGGCAGGTGGACAGGGCACCGGGCAAGCAGCACCTGCAAGCTCCAGGCCAGAGAGGCCTCCACAGGACCAGCCCCACGGTGAGTGTCTTCTGGTCATTTCTTATCCATTCCTGAGTCTCTAAGACCCAGCTGGGCTCAGGCAGAGAGGAGGCTGCTCCATATCAACAGAAGAGAGGGCTCTAACTTTCAAAGAGATGCCAGGCTCTGGGCAGGTGCCTTAATTCTCTTTCCATCTAGCCCAGAACTGTTCAGATGTGACCCCAAGGCTCAGTTCGTTGCAGAATGCAGGCACCAGGGCTTATTTCTGTAACCAGGCTCTCCTGAGAATGCTAGTTACCATTTACTTATTCAGCATTCACAATGTGGTAGGCACTGTGCTGGAGGCCGTATGTGCCTCCTCTTTAACTTCAGTGGAAAGGCATAATTGGAACCTGACAGATGTGGAAACTCATCTGCAAAAGAGAAGAGGTGGACGGCGTCCCCAAGTTACACAGCTAGTAAGTAGAGGACCCGAGATCCGGACCTGGTTCTGGCTGCCCCCAAACACCTGCTCAGTCCGGCATAGCTTTCTCCTTCCTAAGCAGAGTTCAGCCTGCACAGCTTCTGAAGCTTTGCTGGGCATCTGTCCACCCTGAGCACCACTACACCTCGTCCCCGGCCAGTGGCCCACCCCAGGCCATGTCCCCAAATAACAATGACCAGATCTCAGTCCCCTCCCTTAAAGCCAGTTGGAGCAAGGGCCCTGAAGTGAACACACACATCCTGCTAAGAGTCCAGACTCCACGATGTCGGTCTCAGTTCTGCCCTGGCCTGTGTAACATCAGGAAAGTCCCCTTCCACCTCCAGCCTCGGCTTTATCCCAGGTGATACAGCTGAGTGAAGGAAGAGGAACCCGAGGCAGTGCTGTCTCAAGCCTCCACTGGAGTCTGATAGTCCAGTGAGCCTGAGAATCTCACACGAGCTTCCGAGTTCTCTCCCCATTTCCATCTCTTTAATACAAGGAAAGATTGGTAAGGAAGGTCAGGGGATCTCGTGATGTCCTCCGACCACACACAGAGCCCACTCCCTCCTCCCAGCCAAGTCTCCCAGGACGGGGGTTGTGCTCAGCTGCAAGCCAGGGGAAGACCCTGAAGGTCACATGTCCCCAGGGAGCGGACAGGTTGCCCTGTAGCAGAGCCTGTCAGTAGGAAAGGGTCCCCAGCTTAATTTTTGGAAGTTCATTAATATCATTCAGGTAATTCAATGAGCATTCACAGTAATGATTCCTCTGGGAGTCTAACCTCAGTCTCTCCTGCTGCAGCTACGTAGTATCCCTGACTGATCCAATACCTACAAGAGCTGGGGCCAGGCCATTTATCCACGCTAGGCCACTGCTCTACCTCCCCAAGGGACCCGCTCCCCAAGTCTTTCCAGTCTCACAGGGATCCTCGTAATCTAAGGCTTAGACCCTCCCAGGTCTCAAGCCAATGGAAAAATCCAACTTGAAAGCACACTGAGCCCAGCTGACCGCTCACTCCTCCTGAGAGAGGAAACCCCCCTGAAGTCGGGGGACCCTCTGAAGTCAAGGGAGATACAATCAGGAAGAAACCACTGTGTACTGGAGGCTCAGACCCTGGAAAGAGAGAGACCATCTCTGCAGCTGTCCCACTGATGACCCTTTGCAGGGAAATTGTGGCACTTGGGCGGAGGGGGGTGGAGAGGAAGATGGAAGAGGAAGAGACCACCTCAGTGGGTAAACCAGTATGGCCTTCTGGCCTTTGGAGGACCCAGATATATTCCCTCGTCTGTTCATGAGCCATTCGGTCACTCAGAGAATAATTGCCGAGTGCTTACTCTGGGCCGAGCTGGGCCCTGAGACGGTGACGATGAATAGAACCAGGTGTAGTGACCACTCACCTGGAGCGGGGTGGGGTCAGCAGCAATGAGAGCCTGGCAACACCACCTGTAGGCACCTTTAGTGCTGACCTCTGCCCATCTTATCTAGTGGAGGTGGCCAGGGTCACAGTGGAATTCTTGAGATTTGAGGAATATCCTCTAGCCATGGTCAGCAAAGTTCTTCTACAAAAAGCCACATAGTAACTTCAAGCACTAATGGTTATGTGGTCTCTGCTGCAATTACTCAATTCTGTTGACAAAGCTAAAAAGGAGGCAATATGCAAACGCACAGGTATGTTTGTGTTTCTATAAAACTTTATTTACAATAACAAGCAGAGGGCTGGATCTGGCCTTGGGCTGCAGCTTATCAACTCCTAACCCATTGGTGTGTCATTAAAAATCCTTCCCAGACCAGCCCTCCTGTATCTCGGTTCAAGTCCCATCACACCCTCCGTGTCCTTCACTCCCTAAACTCCAGGCACATGGAGTTTCTCTCCAACTTCCGATCTTTCTTGTCCTTTAAATGCCTCCAGACCTTTGCCCTTTAGAAGCCTCTGTCCTCTCTTCTTTTTTTTCTCCTTTTCTTCTTCTTCCTCTCTTCCTCCCGCTCTGTGTGGGTTTCCTGGGGTTGTTGTAACGCATTGCCACAAACGGAGGGGCTTAAAACAACAGAAATTTAAACTCTTACGGTTTGGAGCCAGAAGTCCAAAACCAAGGTGTTGGCAGGGTTGATCCCTTCCCGAGGCCTTGAGGGACTTCTCCACGCCTCTCTCCCAGCTTCCGGTGGCTGCCAGCCATCTCGGGCCATCTTTGGCTTATAGACACATCGCTCCAATCTCTGCCTCCCTTGTCACCTGGTCTTTCCTCCTGGGCCTGGGTCAAGTCCCCCTCCCCTTTCTCTCATAAGAACACCAGTCATTGGATCTAAGGCTCACCCGAAATCAGGAGGATCTCGTCCCAAGATCCTTAGTTACATCTACAAAGATACTACGTCCACATGAGGTCACGCACACATGTACCGGGGTTAGGACGCGGACATATTTGGGGAACGGGGGGACACATTTTCCTCTTCCTCCCTCGCTTCCCTGTCTTCCTCCTCTTTATCCTCTCCTCCTCCCCCTCCCACTGCTTCCCCTCACCCTGCCCCTCCTGGAACCGAAGGCTGAGGCTCCACTCCATTCCAGGCACTGGGAGAAGGAGCCTAGCCAGGCTCGGGCGATGGCCGAGGCCCAGGGTGTGTCTCATTAATGGCTCTGGCCTGCAGATAGGTAGATCCGGGGCTCTCATGAGAGCAGACAGGAGCAGGGCGGAAGGCCACGGAGCTAAAGGCTTGTACTTCCCCCAGGGTAAGTGCGGTTTGGTCTCTCTCCACCAGACACCCTCTCTCTGCCCCTGCCACCAGAGCCACAACCTAACGTGGCCATGGGGGACATTCCTACAGGGCGGAGGCATCTGGATGCTGGTTCTAGAAATGCGAATCTGACTCAGTCTTAGTTAGGCCTTGTGGGGAATACATGGAAGTGCAAGGTTTGACCCCTGCTTGCAAGAAAGCATTGCATTTGTATGGGTTCCCCAAAAAAGCAGACCTGAAGGAAAGGATCTGAGCACAAGCAGTTTATCTGGGACGTGCAGAGAACAGCAACAAGGAAGTAGTCAAATGAGACAAAGAAGGAAGGATTGTGAAGGAAGCACATGTGATGAAGCCAGGGACCACTGTGTCAAACTGTGGCTTAAACGCCTTGGGAAATGGAGCAAAGATACTTCTCAGAATGAGCCAGGCTTTTTAGCCCAGAAGTACTTATCCTGGCAGTAGGAAGTCGATCTGGAGCACGGAAAGATCTGAGGTCTGCAAGAGAGCCACTGACAACGTCATTGTAATAGGAAGACCCCAGGGTATTAGGAGAAATCTGCATGGAGAGAGGGGGCTTAGGGCACTGGCTGTCATTTAAATTCGATTCATACACTGTAAGCTGCATCCAGGCACGAACTGCTGACTGTCTAACGTGTGGCAGGCACGTTATTGCTGGCACAACAACTGTCCCAAACTTCATGGCTTCAGAGGACTATAAACATTTATTATCTCACTCCGCTTCTGTGCGTCGGGAATCTGGGAGTGACTTACCACAAATCGAGTGGTCCTGGCTGAGGGTCCCTCAGGAGACTACAGCAAAGATGGTGCTTGGGGCTGCAGTCAGCTGAAGACTGGGCTGGAGTAAAGGATCTGCTTGCTTGGTGTTTTACGCCCATGGCTGGTGAGTTGGCGCCAGCCGTTGGAGGAGGCCTCAGTTTTTCCCCAGGTGGGGCTCTCCACATGCCACTTGAGTCTCCTCCCACAACGGCGGTGGTGTCTCTCCGTGCAAGCAGTCCAAGAGAGAAGGAGCCAAGTGGAAGGCCGAGAACTGCCCGAGCAGCCCTCCCACTGCGCTCCGTTAGTTACGGCAGTCACTAGGGCCAGCCCACGCTGAAGGAGAAAGGAATCCAAAGGGTCGTCGTGTCTTAAAGCCACCGCAGGAGTCAGCTGGGAGCGGGGTGATACAGAGAGCAGAACACAAGCACATCCGTGCCCTCACCTACCTGACAGCAACGGAGACAAATAACCCTCCAATCATCACCAGTGAAAGCACAATGACAACTGTGATGAGTGCCGGGAAGAGGGTGACACGGTCCTCTGACAGCACATTCTAAGGGAGGTGTGGTCCACTGGGGACGCCAGCAAAGGCTTCCCGGAGCGGGTCACAGTGGATGCCACGGGCACGAGGGAACTGTAGGATGTCCATGACCAGACGGGAGAGAAGAGGCCAGTGCAGGTCCCTGGGAGACGCCTGCCCTGCAGCTCGCCTGTCAGACGCGGGAGACGTCCCCAGCCTGCGGGAGGGGTCCCACGGGGGCCCTGGATCTCTGCCGCACTGAAGCCCCTGCCTTAGGAGGACAAAGACAAGGCCCATTTCCAGAGACGTCCGTCGCCCAGTGGCAAAGCCCCCGGGGGCCTCCGGAGCAGCCAGGGCCAGTAACAGACCAGAGAGAGGGAGCAGTCAGAGGAGAGCACCAAGCGTGAGAAACATCGGTTTGTAATTAGGTGGCCTAATCACCTATGTAAATTGTGTATTTCTTATGATCGATGTGCTAAACGGCTCAGGTTTAATTAAGTTCTGCTGACTCGTTCTCTTCGAGGACCCACTGAAGTGTGATTCACGGCTTCCCAATTAATAACGGGGAGAGGAGCGAGTTGAAAGGGGAGCGGTACCCCACCACCTTCCTCCTGGTCTCCCTGCCACCCACATGCCCTCCCCAGTGCCCTTGGCCAGCACTGTGGCCACCGGCTTCTGGGCCTCTCTTCTGGGTCTGGAGATGCTGGGCTTGGACAGAAATCTCAAGGATTTTCTCACTCCTAATCCAGTGCTCTTTCCATGGCTTGGAAAATGGGGCCCAACACCCCCATCGTCCCCTCTGAACTGGGGAGGAGCCCAGCCCTTCCCGATGACTGAGAATCTTATCTCGCGCATGGGGAGCTCCATCAATGAGCTCGTATTTCCAGCCTCGTGTCTAAAGAGGTCCAAAATTCTCTGGGCTGAGTCTGTGTTGTCCCTTCTTCTCCATTCCGTATTCCAGGTATGCTACTCTGCCTTCTCTCCCAGGCTCCCTCTTATACTGACAGTGGTCTGTAACCCAGCGTCAGCCGTGCTGCCCCCCCACCCCCCACCCCTTCCCTAAAGCAGCCCCCTCCTGCGCACGGTGGGAAACGTGAAATGCAGACCTTCATCCTTCCTGAGCTAACCGTTCAGACACTGCTCTTCCCCATCCCTCCCTGTGCACCATGGGCAGGTCCTCTCTGCTCTGAGTCACCACCTGGAGCTCCTGGGCACCATCCTCTCCACTGCCCATCCTCCTCCCCGGACACCAGCAGAGAGATGGGCATGGGCCTGTCTGCTCTTCCTCTTACTTGCCCTATTTTCCAGTTTCCCCGACGCCATCCAAGTCGGCTCTATGACGGATGGATGCTCTCTTTCCTAGAGATATGTGGCAATTAGAGGAAATTGTGACACAGGGGTAATGTTTATTGAGGAGTTTACGTGATGTTATAAGGGTCGTTTTTCTTAAATCCCCTGGACCACACAGACATTTCCTCCCCAGCTACCCACTGGCTTCTTCCTCCACATTCCCAGCCCACCTTCCTGAGGGGTCGTCTGCAGTTGCCGCCCCTCCTGCTTCGCCTCCCCGTCTCTCCTCTGCCCACCGCCACTGAGCCCTCACTGTCTCTCACCTGCAGGACTGCTGTCTGTCGTTAGAGCCAGGTTCAGTGATCGCTCTTCTGTCCCCATCGTAATTAGTCACAGCATGGACACAGCGAGCCTTCTTCCTTGAAACTGGGGGCCCATATCACTGCACCCTTCTCGTGTTCTTTCCACTTCAGAGACCACCCCTTCTTGTTGGCTGCCGAACCTCTAAATGGCAGAGAGGCCCCAGGCTTTCTTAGACTCTCCATCCTTCTCCGCCTGCACTTCCTGCCTAAACGATCTCATCTACGATCCCCACGCCTGCGAAGACCAAATACATGCTGACGATTCCCAAATTTGAACCTCAGCCCTGGGCTTCCCTTTGCACTTCAAATATGTATGCATCTGTCTAGTCAATAGTTTCCTTTGAACAGCCAACAGGCATCTCAGATTTAACATGTCCGAATCAAACAGCTGACCTCACACACACACACACACACGCCTGACTTTATAGGCATGCGTGTGGCCAGTGTAGTTCCAATAGTTTCCTTTGAACAGCCAACAGGCATCTCAAATTTAACATGTCCGAATCAAACAGCTGACCTCCCCATCACACACACACACACACACACACACACGCCTGACTTTATGGGCAGGCGTGTGGCCAGTGTAGTGACACAGGGTACTGCACTCATATGGGATTTAATGGGGTTTAATGATTGTGGTCACTATCTTGAAATTCTTAATAATTCTTATGTTTGAATCTGTGTTTTGTAAGTGAAGTCGCATGAGACCATGAAGCACGCACCAAGGGCCTAGATCCTCAATTCCTGCTCACCCCCTCTTCCCCAGGATGGGCTCTCAGACACCTGTTTTTCCACCTGGAGCCACTGCCTCCTCTATCCTAGGGTGGGCTAAGTCCAAGGATGGCCCCCGGGTCCCTGTGAGGGTCCACACTCACCTCGTTGGTATCTCTGTGCCTGAGGGAGCACGGCTTTAAATAGCACACAAAGAAACACCCTGACAGGTCAGGAGAGTGACTGAAGAAGAAAGAAAAAAGCTTTCTTCCTCTTTTTTGAACAAGGGCCCCACGTTTTCATTTTGCAGTAGGGCCCACAAGCGATGTAGCCGGCCCTGAGTGGACATGAAGCTGGACAGGTGGTTGGAAAAAGGCGGTAAGGGGCCGACTGTTGTGAAATGCAGTCTTTACTTTGCAGACCAAGGTCGGCAAACTTTTTCTGTAAAGGGTTAGATGGTAATTATTTTAGGTTTTGCAAGCCATATGGTCTCTGTGGCAACTACTCAACTCTGCAGTTATAGCACAAAAGCATCCATAGACATAAACCAATGTGTGGGGCTCTGTTCCAATAAAACTTTATTTACAGAAACGACAGTGGGCTGGAATTGACCCGCAAGCTATAGTTTGCCATCCCTCGTTGTAGACAAGGGGGAGACATTGAACGCATCTGAGCAGTGGAAGGATAATCAGAGAAGTTTCTAGGAGGTTATCTTGGCCTCTCTGGCCAGGATAGATGAGAGGGAGCCAGCCTAGGAGCAGAGTTTCTAAGAAAAAGGATATTATACAACTCCGAGCACAAGAGGCCAAGGGTCAAGACTTGGTAGTGGCCACCGAGGTCAAAAGGGTAGAACAAGGCAACACAAAGCCAATGCCAAGGTCACTAACGACTTGACCCATCTTCCATCAGAGGAGAGGAAGAGCAAGCGGAGGATCCGAACCACCTTCACCACAGAGCAGCTGCACGAGCTGGAGAAGATCTTCCACTTCACCCACTACCCAGACATCCACATCCGCAACCAGCTGGCAGCCAGGATCAACCTCCCAGAAGCTCGGGTGCAGGTACAGCCATGCCCACCCTCAACCCCACCTTAGTGCACCTGGGGCATGGGTGAAACTATGGATCCTGGACTCTCTGGGGCCACCCTATCTGAAACTCTCCATTGGCTTCGTCCTGAGTACTGTCATATTTAACAAATACTATGTTCCAGGAACTGAGGTTACCGCAGTTATAAGATGGTTTCTCTCCTTGGGGTCGGGCGAGGGATGGAAATGGCATCAGGGGTGTCTCTGGCATCTGCTTCCATGCCCTTCCTTTCCACTTGACCACAGATCCAGAAGAGCATTCACCATGCAGCCTCACTCACAAAATAGGTCTTGACAATCTAGACCAGGGGTCAACAAACTTTTCCTGTGAGGGGCCAGATGGTGATTATGTTAGGCTTTGGAGGCCATGTGGTCACAATTATTTGACTCTGCCACTGTAGCATATAAGCAGCCACAGAAAATAGGTAAACAAATGAGCGTGGAGGTATTCCAATAAAACTTTATCGATGAACACTAAAATGTCAACTTTATATAATTTGCATGTGTCAACAGAATATTCTTCTTTTGATTTTTTCCCAACCCTTTAAAATGTGAAAACCGTTCTTAACTCATAGGCCATATAAAAACAGGTGGAAAGCCAGATTTAGCCCATTAAGGTCTACATTTGCCCACCCCTGATCTGGACCCCATGGGCATCACTTTGAAGGCAGCACAGAGAAGTGAGAAGGACCCTGGATCCATGGGCTGAGACCTGGTTTAAGCACCAACTGCCTAATCTGTACTCTAATTTCTTTATGCCTCAGTGTCTATGGCTTCACCTGCGGCTGGAGACACAATAGCCCCTTGTCACTCGCCAGGGCATGTCCTGCCCTCTTTGTACTTCCTCAGCTTGCACCGTCCTAGCAAACCCAGATCCATTGTTGCGTGGTTGGCACTCTCTCTAACAGTTTTCTAAGTCGTTCATTTTTTTTTTTTTTTTCCCTAACACATGCGATGGACTCATTCGAATTCAAAATCTGTGCCAGGACCCAGGTTAACATTCTACTCTCGATTTTTATCCCAACCTACTCTTCTTCTGGCTAAGGACCACATCTGGCTTAGACTTCTCCCTTGTTCTTCCCATTCGGAAGCAGTCACCAGCTAAGCAGGTAGCACCTGCAGCTCAAAATTCTGCAGAATTCAGCGGCCTTCTCAGCAGAATGACCAAGTGCAGATGGCCACATGTCAGAGACGGTCAGGGTGCTTGTGAATACAGAGTACTACCAATGTTCCCGAGAATGCCAAGGGGGTCCCAGAGGTTGCAAAACCGGTGGAAATAGCCCGGTGGGTTTTATTTGATCTGCATAGTATTTTAAAATGCAGAGCTTTCACATAAAAATTAAGATTTCTGCCTTAGATATTGGATGAGCTTGCAAGGCTGGGTTCACGTTTCCACATGATGGCTGTTGGCTAAAGCTGAGAGGCTGACCCCTTAGGTTCTGTCCACCACAGACTCCACCCTGCTCAGTCATGTGGCACCCAGCCGCCTCACTGTCAAATGAGCCCCCAGCCCTGTAGGCATTGAAAGTCATGATCCCCACCCCCTCTCAGAAGGCTGACCTCCAGAGCCAAAGAAATCCTGGATGCCATGGAACTTGCAAAACTGTAAAGTGCTGGTATCTTGGAAGATGTGGTTATTACGCATGTTGGGAAGGTACTAGACAGAGAAAAACCATTTTGCTTATCTCCATCCTCTCTGTCCCTCTCCCCAGATCTGGTTCCAGAATCAGCGAGCCAGGTGGCGGAAGCAGGAGAAGATGGGCAGCCTTGGGGCTCCACAGCAGCCGAGTGAGGCCGACTGGGCCCCAGCCACAAATCTGGACGTGGGTGTGAGTAGTTGAGGCACCAAGAGGGGCTGGGGGATCCGCCATCTGGGAAAATCCCATCCAGACCGAGGTGGGAGGAAACACATCAGGGCCGTCTACAATCAAAAGCGCAAGGGGAATTCTTTTAGATAGAGCGTGGCCAAGGATGTTCTGGAAGTCTGCGGGACCTGGGACAAGTCACTGTCTCTTTCTGTCCCCATGTCCTCATCTACTGAGTGGCAATTACAGTGCCCTTTCCTCCTCTGGGGACTGGCTTGTATCCCTTGTGCCAAACGCCATAGTTTATGGAACAGAGTCATGAAGTCAAGGGCAGCCTGCAGGAGTCCAGCACGTTGGCTCCAGCGTCAGATGCCCAGGTCCGAATCCCGGCTCTGCACCTAGCTGCAGGGTGGCCTGGTAGAGTCACGGTGCCCCTCGAAGGACAGTAATACTTTTGATGAGGATGAAATGAGTGAAGCGTGAAGAATGCTTGGCACCGAGGAAGAGCTCCCTACGTGTCAGCCATCCACTGAGTAAACACATATTTGGAGTGTGTACCAGATGCTAAGCTCTGGGGAGACGGCACCACACAAAATAGTCCTACGGTGACAGGTTTGTGCAGACCCACAGGGAGGCTATGAGACAGAATTATTTTCACTTATCCTTTTTTGCTAAGGCAGACACTAGGCTCTGAGAAGCAAAGTGATGTTCCCACATCAAGCAATTGCTATCAATGGTGGGATGAGGACCAGGCTTTCTGGCCCCCAGGGCACATGCTTCCCCCCAGATTGGTCCCCTACCCAGCCCGAGCTGCTCACGTCATGGGGGAAATGTTGGGACGCTGAGGGACAGTCCAGGGTAAAGCTTAGGATTCACGTCTCTCCTGACTTCTCGTGACAGGGCCCCCTGCTGCTGCCCCCTGCGCTGTCCAGGTTGGCTCCTCCCATGGGGTGTTATCCACCAATTCGTAGTCAGCTGGCCTGTGCCTGGTTCCCTGCCCGGATCACCCTCCTCCCACGCCACCCATGGGAGACACGGTCTCTCCCGGGCCCTCTCATCCAGCACGCCCGTGTTCCTGAGCTCTGCTTCCTTCCACCCCCACACCCCCAGTGGGGCAGCATCTGTGCCACCTCCACATAGGGATCAGAGGGACGTCCTCTCCCCAGTGGAGCCGCTCTCCTCTCCAAGTGAAGGCAAGTGGCAAGAAGGCTCCCAGGCCTCTGAGGAAGTCAATCTCACGGCCCAAAGATGGCCCACAGCCCAGGAAGCCTCCCCGAACACGGCCCGTGGAAGGGAGCATCAGACTCGGCAGCAAGGTGGCCAAGAGGCTGCGTCAGGTCTCAGGACGAGCTCTGGAACAAGGAGGTCATCCTCCTGCACCGGCGCTTCCTCTGACTTGCTGTGTGACCTCCAGCCAGTCACTCACCCCCGCTGGACCTCATCTGTAATATGAGGCAAGTTGGAGAAGATGACCTCTGAGGTCCCTTCTGGCCTGTACTTTGGTGAGGTGAACCATGGCGAGAACAGAGGCATAAAGAGGCCAATGAGAGGTTGTTTGTTCTTTCATTCATGACACATTTACTGAGCCCCTATGGAGAGCTCCATAAATGGAACTGGATATTGACATGAACAACTGAGGCTCCGCCCCTACGAGCTCTGTCCAGGTTGGTCAGAGGGATAGTGCTGACCTTCCCCTGCAAGCCGAATATTTGCCAGTGACCTTGCAGTTGGCCGTGTCTAACATTCTGTATGGCTTCGATGTGAATGTCTTACAGAGAGAGAGAAATATAGGAAAAATTTTTTAATCGTAAACAGAATCTAGTGTCTTTGGTTATTCTGTTGAATTGGGGAAGGATATTGTCATTTCTGGCCCGATTGAAGAGTACGACAGCAAGCTCTTTTCAGAGTTTATTTCCTGGGACTTGAGCAAGAAGCCCAGCTGGAAGGCCAGCCTCTGTCCTGAAAAGCCTGGAGTTTCATTTGACACTGCTGTTTTCTTGCAGCGAGGCCTTGGGCAAACCGCATGCCCTGTCTGATCCTCAGGGTTGACATTTGAACAATGGCCTGCCCACCCTGATGCCTCCCAGGGTGATCAGGAAACTCTGAAAGGGAGTGAAAGCACTTTGCGAAGCGTGAGGGCTGGGCCCACTGTGGAGTGATGTCCTTGTCCCAGATTCCACCAGGAAAGTGGCTGCTCTGGGTCCCAGCCTGGGATAAATCTCTCTTCCTCACAGGGAGGGGACCCTCTAAACCTTCCTTCTGCATGAGCATCACTGAGATGCGCCCTGCTGGAAAAGGACAGGGCCTCTATGTGCAGTCCCAGAAATTCTAGGATTCTGCCCCACATCTCAGAATCTCTGCAATCCGCCGGGGTCCCTGACCCACCCGGGAGTCCGAACGGGAATCGGGAAGTCTGGGTCTTCGGCCTCCACTCTCTCTAACTTGCTGTATAAACTTGCCATTGAATCTCTCTGGGCCTCAGCTTTCTCCTCTGTCAATTGGAGGCAGCAATGCGAGCTCTGCCTTCAGGCGTGCAAAATGCCAGGACCACAGTCTGCGGCCCACTGAGTGTGAATGTGCTTTGCACACTTAGAAGTGCCAGACCGCCCAGAGCCCTGAACTTAACCACCACTGACACCGAGTCTCCAGCACACTCAGGATGGAAGGAGAAGGCTAGGGGCGAGAAAGTCAGTTAATAAACAAAGATGGAAGCGCCTACCTCTTTCTTGGCCCTATACTCAAATGTGCAAAATGTAATTTTTATTATTTTGCTATAACTGGATTTCTATGTTATTGGCAGAAAATTTATTCCAGTAACTTCTATGTTACCAATTGCTCAAACACTCGGGTTTACACTCAGTCCCATTTGAGACCGTCCCTCTCTGCCCCCCTTTTTCCTAGGTTGAGGGTGGGGCTGGGAAAGTGTTTCTATAAATGCCAGTTTGGTCTCTCAAGGGAGGAGTGACCACTTCCCAGCCTGCGTCTTTCTCAGCCCCTGCTGGCATCCACTGCCTGTGCCTCGGCTGGTCTGGCCTTGGGTGTGACCCCTCCACCCCACCTCATTTCAGTCCCCTACGGGGGGGCTCACTCTACATCCTCTGCTGCGGCCCTCCCACCCCAGATGTGAAGGCCCCCACTTGTTCTCTCTGCCTTCCGGATCATCTCTCGTGAATAGGAGGAAAAGCTGACAGCTCCCCCACACCCCTCCGGGGCTGCGGATGCCCGAGGCCAGACAGTGGGCTCTCTTTGGAGACCTCTCACAGTCATTTCTCTCACCCTGGTGATACAAAAGCCGTGGGTGAGATTATCGATCTCCAGACCTCCAAGTGGAATGGAGAGGCACGAGTCTACTCTGCTGGGGTCCCCGTGTGAGTCTGGGTTCTCCGCAGAAACAGAACCAATAGGAGAGGAGATATTTTATAGACAGATAGGTGATATGTACATACATATTTACATACATACATGTATAAATAGATAAATATGTAGATACATAGATAGATATTTTTATAAAGAATTGGTTCTCAAGATTTACGGATGCTGAGAAATCCCATGACCTGCAGTTGTCAAGCTGGAGACCCAGGAGAGTATAAGTCCCCATCTGAGTCCAAGGACAGAAGACTGACGTCCCAATCAAAGACAGTCAGGCAGAGAGAGTGAATTCTCCCTTCTCTCGCCTTTTTGTCCTATTCAGGCCTCACACTCACCCACACTGGGGAGGGCCATCTGCTTAACTCGGTCTATCAATTTAAATGTTAATCTCATCTAGAAACTCCCTAGAACACACATCCATATGAATATTTAACCAGTTTTCTAGGCAACATGTGACCCAGGCAAGTTGACACATAAAATTAACCATCACAGTCCCCATCTCTTGCTCCGGTCACATACCCTCCTTCCCCCAGAATCCTCTAGAAACAGGGTCTGGCCAGCCATAAGAGGTTCCTGTGACCAGAACGTTACATCTGCTTTAGTACAGATATAAAAGTTGATTGGGGGTAGAGACTTCTTCCTCTCTAAGGATTTATTCCCCACCCCTCAAAAACTATTTTATTCCCTTTGCCATATATCTGTAGGGCAAAGGAATCACTTTAAAACTCTTGCCAGCTGCGTGACCTTGGGCAAGTGACATGTCCCCTCTGTGTACGTGTTCACTGCACGGCAACAGTTCCTTGTGTCCTGGGTTTCTGTGACCACTAAATGAGTTAGTACATTTTGGCACATGATAAGCATTCAACAAGTATTAAGGAAAATGTCCTTTTACCAACTCTCCCTTCTACCTTCCTCTTTCTAAACGTGAGCAGCTATTCTGATCCCAGACTCTATCCCAGGAACTCTTAAACCAGCCTTCAGCAAGTCAAGGAACTCTCAAAAAGAATGTGCAACATCGTGTATGTGTCTGTTTGTGTGTTTATTTTTCTCAGGGAAAGGATTCATTGCTTTCATCAGCTTTTCAAAGAGCTCCATGGCTAAAAATAATAACAATAAAGAATCTCTGTCAGACACACCTGAGTCAGATCCCACCAGGTTCATAGTATAGACGTGTGGACTAGAGACTTGAGAGAAGCTAAAAGATCGTTTTTTAAAGATAAAATCATTTAACTCTCTAATCAATGAGAAAACCAGTAAGGCATCATAACAGTTCCAAGAAGAATTCAAAGAACAGACACAGAACTCGGCAAGCAAGAATGCTGAGATGAATTACAAATAGAGACAAAAAGCATCTAAGGCCATAGGAGAACAATCGACTGCATCTCCACACAATTCATTTGCTTTTCTATGGACAGGAATCATTTGTATTATTACCATTTTTCTACAACTTAAAGGGTTGAAAAATAGCTCAAAGACGATAAAAGTTGCAGAAATCCTGGAAGAGCGAGTTAGAACACCTGGCAATCTTTTTATGCCCATTTCGAAGTCTTCCACAGTTTTTCCTGACCTAAAGCTACTAATCCCTCTGAATCTCGGTTTTGACATCTTTAGATGACATCGCAAGACCTGCCTCAGGAATTAGTTATGAGATTATATTATGAATTGTGAGATTATGATGCAGGTAAAGTGTTTTGTAATTTGTCAAACACTATGAGTTTAGGAAATTATTATTTACTGCTTTTCAAACTCCTCTAGAACTCAAGTTTAAAACTGTAGCTAGAAAATGTTTAGAAGTACAATAACATTTCTTTAATATCCATTGACCTTTGGCAGTTCAATTTTTTAAAAGGCTAAACAAGCCATAGAAAATGAACCAAGAGCAGAAATTAGAGATTCACAAGAAAAGCATACAAATGGTTCCTAAACATATGAAAATAGTCTCAACCTCATCCATAATTTTAAAATATAAATAAAACGATAATGAAATACCCTTTTTTTACCTTGCAGATTGGCAAATATTTATGTATTAGTGAAATAGTCACTCTCCTATGTAAGGAAGTATGAATTAGTAAGTTATTTTGAAAGACAACTCGACAACTATTAGTATTCTAAGTGCAAATCTCTTTGACCCAGTAGTTGTATTTGCAAGAACTTATCTGATAAATATCCACGTATATAAATACCATATATGAGAATGTTCACCAAGGCTGTCACAACAGCAACAACTGGAAACCACCTACATAGGACACTGGTTGAGCCAATTATGGTGTATTCATCCAGCTGTTAAAAATAATGAGAGAAATTGAAATGTACCTCATGGGAAATTGTCATTAGACATGTCATTAAATGGAAAAAGCAAGTGGCAGAACAGTATTATGATGTCAGTTGAGTAAGAAAAGGATAAAGATATCTTTATATGTAAAAACATCATTAATATGCTAATGGATTCTGCATACATTAGCTGTTGCTAATGTAGCAACAGCTAGTTGTTTGAAACGATGATTTTTTTTTTTTTTTTTTTTGGCACCCCCCTCTGATTTGCAGGGATTTTTCCCGGTCCGGG